GTGTCTCACTCTATAAGGACCTTAAAGGGCTAGGCGAACTGGAGGTGTCAAGTTTAAGTCCACCTGAGCCAGGGACTCTGCTCATTTTTTTTTTTTAAATATTTATTTATTCATTTGAAAGGCAGAGTTACAGAGAGGCAGAGGCAGAGGCAGAGAGAGAGAGAGAGAGAGAGAAAGAGAGGTCCTCCATCGGCCAGTTCACTCCCCCAGAAGACTGCAACAGCCGGAGCAGCCCCGATCCAAAGCCAGGAGCCAGGAACTTCTTCCAGATCTCTCACACGGGTGCAGGGAGGGGCCCAAGGACTTGGGCCATCTTCCACTGCTTTCCCAGGCCATAGCAGAGAGCTGGATGCGAAGTGTAGTAGCCGGGACTCCAACTGGCATCCATATGGGATGCCGGCACTGCAGGCGGCTCTACCTGCTATGCCACAGTGCTGGCCTGGGACTTTGCTAATTTTGACAGGCATGATTTGTCCACGTTTTATTAAGTATTGTTTTGAAAAAAGATTTATTTTTATTTATTTAAAAGGCAGAGTTACAGGGAAGGAAAGACAGAGAAAGAAATCTTCCATCCATTAGCTCACTTCCTAAATGGCTGCAATGGCTGGGGCTGGGCCAGACCAAAGCCAGGAGCCTCAACAGGGTCTCCCACATGGGCGCAGGAGCCCAAGCTTTTGGGCCATCCTCTGCTGCTTTCTCAGGTGCATTAGCAGGGAGCTGGAGTAGAAGTGGAGCACCAGGGCTGGGCCAGGCCAAAGCCGAGAGGCAGGAACTCCATTTGGGTCTCCCATGCGGGTGGCAGGGCCGTCCTCCCCTGCTGTCCTGGGTCCCCCAGCAGGGAGCTGGAGGGGAAGCAGCGCAGCTGGGACTGGAACCGGCGCTCCGCCACGGAATGCTGGTGTCACAGCCCCTTGTTTTGTAATTCTTACAGCTGAAAACCCAATTTGGAGAACATACCCAAGAGAGCTGGTGCCCCTTTGCCCTCTCCCCCTAACAAAATAATCTGTACAAAGTGATTCACAGTGGAGTCATCCAAAAACAGTGACCAAATGGAGCCAACCTAGGTGCCCATCAACCACTGAAGGATCAAGAAAAAATCCCTCAGGGGCTGACCCTGAGGAAATCCCATGAAACCAACAACAACAACATTAAAAACAAAAAACCAGCAATCATTTTCTGAACACGATCAGTTTTCTTATCTGTGAAGTGGAGAATACAGCACCCAAACCAAAAAGGTATCGTGGGGCTTAAACTGGCTATCACATAAAAAGTACTGAGAGCGGGCCAGCACCGTGGCGTGGTGGGTAAAGCCACTGCTTGCAGGGCCCGCATTCCATACGGGTGCCGGTTCTAGCCCCGGCTGCTCCACTTCCAATCCAGCTCTCTGCTATGGCCTGGGAAAGCAGCTGCGTGGGAGACCCGGAAGAAGCTCCTGGCTCCTGGCTTCGGATCAGCCCGGCTCTGGCTGTTGCAGCCAATTGGGGAGTGAACCAGTGGGTGGAAGCCTTCTCTCTCTCTTTCCCTCTCTCTGCCTCTCAATAACTCTGATTTTCAAGTAAAATAAATACATCAAAAAAAAAAAAAAAAAAGTACTGGGAGTAGCTGTGGACACCCAGGAAGCCACGGGCCTCGCCCCGTCCAGTGCTCCTTTACCAGACACGCCCCCTGGCCTTTTCCCACGTGTCGCTTCTTGACGTCTGCCACTGACTCACCGTGACCACTTACGGTTATTAACGGGAGTTCTTTAGAACAGATTCTCTCTTCAGTTCTGAGGGTATGGGCTGCTGACTCATCTGATCAATGTTTAATCAGGATCGGTACCTAAAATTAGGCATTTTAATAGCTGGTACTTAAACAAGAAAGTTCAAGGTGACTCTTAAAAAATTCATCTGGTGCTTCTTTCCAGTTTATGTAAATGCTGACTTCTAAGAGCGACTGAGGGATCAGAGAGCTTTCTCCTCCCCAGCTCTGCAGGCTCTCACCCTCCACCTACTCCTTTCTCACCCTTCATTGACCATGACGCGGCCATGCACACGGGCCCCAGGGCAGTCAAAGCGACCCCGTAAAACTATATTAGGTGCAAGGGGTTATTAGCACTGTGGGAACACCCTGAGTCCTGCCCTCCGCAGCAACTTCCTTCCCCAGCACGTTCCCACCCCTGTTCCTCTCGGGGAGAAATGCCCAGCTTCCCTTGTCAGGGACCACAGAGGCTCTCGTCAGCGGACAGGGACAGAAAACGTCAACTGCGAAGACTGGCAGGTGACTGCAACTGTGGAGAACTGAGGGCTGGGGACACGTGAGCGGCTTACTGGAAGGACGGAATCTGATCGAGTCAAAGATACGGGTTTCTCAGAAGCCTAGGAAAGCAGGAAGAAAACCTGCCTTTCGACACATGGCCTGGGGCAAGACTCGGATGAGAGAAGGAAGAGGAGACAGACAGACAGTGTGAGATGGGGATTGACCTGCGGGGCCCAGGCCCTCCCATCCTCCATTCTTTACTTCTTGCAAAACCAGCTAAAGACGGGCAGCACGCTCCGCGCCAACGCGCCGAGAGGGGAGAGCCGTGGTGTCACCCCACTGGACACGGCTTCAGAGCTCGCACCTTACAGAAAACGCTCAGGGTCCACCCGACACCAGACCCCCCCCAAGGCTTCCTCAGATTCATCTCTGTCCAGGGGAGTGGGGAGGCAGTCACCCTCCCCAGTGCGCACGGGCCCACCCGTTCCAGTACGTGGCAATGCCCCCTTGCCCCGCGCCCTCTTTGGAGAGCCAGGGGAAGCCGGAAAGGCTACTGCATTTGCTTCCTCTCCAGCGCTGCACGCGTTTTGGGAAGGAGACTGGGAGGGAGCTTGCTTCGGTCCCTTACGGCACTGAGTTTCCACGAAACCTTGTCTGTCCTGGGATTCAGAGAATCTGTTAACTGCTTTTGTAATGTTTTCAGCACAGGGTTCTTTGACTCATGCTTAGAAATTGGGAAAGAGGTTACGTACTTAAGACAAAGGTTTTCAAACTTTGTAAAAACAAGCGGACTGGCTTTTTTTTTTGGTAAGGGAAATCTTACAGGGAACTTCACTATGGTAAAGAGATCAATGTGACTTCTCTGGTCAGAGCGTGGGTTGGGGGACACAGGCTTCATGCTCTCAGCCACTGCCTCTCCCTTTAAGGAGCCCCGAACATCTCTGGTTGAAAGGGAGAGGTCGTGAACATTCAGACAAATAAACAAACGAGGTAATGAATGGGGATGAAGGAAAAGCTGTTTCTCAATACAGAAGTAGAGCTGGAAAATCACTGTGGAGCCATCGTGGTGAAGACTGGTTAGAGCGGGAATCAACAATACATGCCAACATAAACACATGCCTGATACGAAACAGGGTGTAGGGGCCGGTGTTTTGGTGTGGTGGGTAAAGCCACTGTCTGTGATGCTGGCATCTCACATGGTCACTGCCTTGTGTCCTGCCTGCTCCACTTCTAATCCAGCTCACTGCTAATGGCCTGGGAAACAGTGGAAGATGGCCCAGGTGTCTGGCTCCTGCCATCCACATGGGAGACCTGGAAGAAGCTCCTGGCTTCTGCCTGGCCCAACCCTGACCATTGTGGCCATTTGGGAAGTGAACCATCACATGGAAGATCAATCAATCAATCTCTCTCTCTCTCTCTCTTTCAAATAAATAAATCTTTTTTTTTTTTAATTAAATTTTTTTTTGACAGGCAGAGTGGACAGTGAGAGAGAGAGAGACAGAGAGAAAGGTCTTCCTTTGCCGTTGGTTCACCCTCCAATGGCCACCGCGGCCGGCACGCTGTGGCCGGCGCACCGCGCTGATCCGATGGCAGGAGCCAGGAGCCAGGTGCTTTTCCTGGTCTCCCATGGGGTGCAGGGCCCAAGCACCTGGGCCATCCTCCACTGCACTCCCTGGCCACAGCAGAGAGCTGGACTGGAAGAGGGGCAACCGGGACAGAATCCGGCGCCCCGACCGGGACTAGAACCCGGTGTGCCGGCGCCACAGGCGGAGGATTAGCCTAGTGAGCTGCAGCGCCGGCCCCAACTCTGCCTTTTAAAAAAATTAAAAAAAATAAGAGACTGGGTAGCTGATTCCTGGCTCCGGCCCCAGCTCTTGAAGGCATGTGGAAAGTGAACCAGCAAACAGAAGCTCTCTGTCTGTCTTTATGCCTCTCAAACGAATAAAAAATAAAATCAGAAAATAGACAACAGACATAGCAACTAAAGCTAATATACGATCCCTGACTGTGTCAGGTACCTGAGGGGAAACAATGCCGTAACGGACATCATTGGGATGCCTGACATTTGGCCTACGGATTGTCAGTGCCGTACCCACACCGGGTCAGGTCCATCTCCCTGAACTTGGTGACCGCACTGCGATTCTGTTACACAATGTTCCTCTCGGGAGACACAGCTGAAGCAGGTGGCTTGCTTACAGGGCGCATGACACAGGTGACCCACTCTCACACTTCTCAGAAACAAACGAGCAGATTCAGTGTGCTCACAGGGACAGAGAGCAGCAGTTCTCAAATTAGGATCCTGGAGGTGTACCCGCATCACCCTGGAACTCATAAAAATCCAGAGCTTTGGGCCTCTCCCTAACCTACTCAGCCGGCTGTCTGGACGCAGGGCCTAGCAGGCTAAGTTTTAACCAACCCTCCGGGTCACTGAGATGCAGGTGGTGGTGTGAAGACTCTCAACGTAAAGGGAGTGAGAAAACAACCGAGGTGAAAGGTTACAACTGGTCAGTCTGGCAAATTTCCTATATGATTCCTGAAACCCTTCTCTGGGTTTGAAATTATTTTGAAATAAAAAAGGAGGAATAACAACAGTGAAATGACTGGAGACAGTGCGTGATGTGGAGGGGAGAGCCTGGAGGCAGGAGGCGGGTCACGAAGGCAGATCCGGCCTGGGAGCCGACCTCGCTGCCACTCCGAGGCAGAGCGGGCAGTGGGGGGCGGCGGTCTCCTTCCTGCAGGGGGTGGCCGTCGGCGGCACTGACCTGAGTAGGAGAGCCCGGCGATCTCGACGAAGAGGTCTTCTTCGGAAAAGCTTTCGGGCAGCATGAGGAAGGCCGCCGTCGCCGCACTCCGCAGGTTTTTATCGAGGGCTGATCTGAGGATGACGTTCTCGCTCATCGCCACGATTTTCACCTGAAAGAGCAAGAAGCTCCGTTACAAAGATTCCAGAATTGGGTCACTGCTCAAGCCATGGCTTCATGTGTGCACTGGAACCGTCCCAAACTCTTACCACTGGAGATCTTGCAGCATTAGTCCAGAGGACACAAAATTATTATTGTTCCAATAAGCAGTCCCAGGATCTCCTGTTCTTTGCCAAATCCAGAGAAACTGTGATGCCAGAAACGTTCAGAATGCCAAAGAAAGCAAAACAAATGTTCCTCTTTAATTGAGAAAGAACAAATATCCTTTTGGAAATTTAATATTTTTAAAATTTTTTTAAAGATTTTATTTCTTTATTTGAAAGGCAGAGTTACAGACAAAGAGAAGGAGAGACAGAGAGAAAGGTTTTCCATCTGCTGGTTCACTCCTCAAATGGCCAAATGGGCCGATCTGAAGCCATGAGCTAGGAGCTTCCTCTGGGTCCCCGACACGGGTATGGGGGCCAAGCACTTGGGCCATCTTCAACCCCAGGCCACAGCAGAGAGCTGGATCGAAAGAGGAGCAGCTGGGACTAGAACTGGCGCTCATGTGGGATGCACGCTCTGCAGGAGGAGGCTTAGCCCACTACACCACAGCGCCGGCCCCCTGGTGTTATTTTTTAAGAAAGTCGGTCGTGACTCGTTAGAATGATTTTGTGATCGCTAATCAGTCATATTTCACAGTTTGAAAAACCGTGTTACACATCAGGGAAGAAAAAACAAAAGAGGCTTACTTTTTTTAAAAAAATATTTTATTTATTTATATGAGAGGTAGAATTACAGACAGAGGGAAAGACAGAGAGAGGTCTTCCATCCACTGGTTCACTCCCCAGATAGCCACAATGGCCAGAGCTGGGCTGATCAGAAGCTGGGTGCCAGGAGCTTCCTCTGGGTCTTCCACATGGGTCCAGGGGACAAGCACTTGGGCATCCTCCACTGCTTTCCCAGGCCATAGCAGAGATGGATGGAAAGAGGAGCAGTCGGGACACGAACCGGTGCCCGTATGGGATGCCAATGCTGCAGGCAGAGGCTTACCCCACGACACCACAGCGTCAGCCCTTATTTTAAAATTTTATCATCTCACTGTCCTTCACGTAATATTCTAGGGGACCTTAAGGCATTTTACTCCTGTACTCACCTGTCTTCTTGCTCATACATAACCTAGGAAGTTCACGTTCTAATTCATGATTCCTGGATACACAGGTTTTAAACTCGACTAAGCAAAAAGCAAAGGAAAATAGCTACAACAGAAAAGGCACGTATCTTGGAGATAGGCCTGGGCTCACCCATGGCCTGTGTGAGTCTTGGCAAATTATGTAACTTCTCAGAACTCGAGTCCTTATCTATGGGATAATAAATTCGGATCAAAGAACTGTCACAAAGATAGAATGCAGTAATAAATGTAAAGTGCCTATGGCCACCTCGCTCAAAAAAAAAAAAAAAAAAAAAGGACCTTTCTCCTCAACACACAGCAAAAGCTCCCGCTGGGACTCTCCGAAAACCCCATTAAGATGTGCCCCGAGGTTCTCTGTCTTAAAGACCACACTGTAATTAGGAGAGCGCAAGTCCCAGCTCCATCTCCTATGAGCTCCGTGGCTGCGGCACAATCCTTTATCTCTAAGATGGAGTTAATAACTGGACCAAGCCCCCAAGGCAGCTGGAAAGAAGAGGGGAGATGCTGAGGACAAACCATGCCAGGGCTTCTCTGGGCCAGGGGTTCTCACCTTAACCTTCACACGGACTGGCCCAGGCCCCAGAGTGTGCACACCTAACAAGCGGCCCACGTCGCTGACTCTGCTGCCCAGGGACTGTTTCTGAGAGTGACTGCTGTAAGACGCACGCGCGGAGGCACGGGTGCTAAGCTGCTCTTCAGAGTGGCGTTGTCCGTACACTCACACCATAATAGTTTAAAATATCGGGTTGCTTTCCAAGTGCTTGGGCCCTGCACCTGCATGGGAGACCAGGAGGAGGCACCTGGCTCCTGCCTTTGGATCGGCGCAGTGTGCCAGCTGTAGTGGCCACTTGGGGGGTGAACCAACGGAAAAAGGAAGACCTTTCTCTCTGTCTCTCTCTCTCTCACTGTCTAACTCTGCCTGTCAAAAAATAAATAAAATAAAATAATAAATTAAAAAAAAATATCGGGTTGCTTTGACTGCCCTATACACAGGAAAGGGGTGCCGACTACTAGCAGGGTTTCCCATGTCTCACAAATGTGTCCACCATCTATACTATACGGCACCGCCAGTGAATCTTCTACTGTAGGAGACAGGGCAAAACTCGCTTATTTGTCAAACATGGATGACTGATGACAAAGTAAGAAGGCACATAAAAGACACTCTACAAGAAACTGTAAAATCAAGCGTGATTAGAAAAGAGAACAATGTGTATTCCCCAGCTATTCTTCTCCCTCTTGTTTTTTAAATAACTATGGAAAACAGGATTATAAAATTGAGAACTATTTTATATATCAGGCTTAAGAATCTAAATTCTACCTTTTACTTTTTCTGACACTTTTTTAGGGGGATATTTCTAACAGGCAAACCTCACGTCACTTGATTGATCAAGTGTGGATTTTCTCCGCAGGTGTGATGATGAGGACTCCACAGACCTTAACTAAACCTTTAGGGCTGGAGCCTGGTGTAGGAGGTTAAGCCTCCACCTGCAGTGCCAGCATCCCATATGAGTGCTGGTTTGTGTCCCGGCTGCTCCTCTTCTGATCCAGCTCTCTGCTATGGTCTGGGAAAGCAGTGGTAGATGACCCAACTGCTTGGACCCCTGCACCCACATGAGCGACCTGGAGGCAGCTCCTGGCTCTTGGTTTTGGATCAGCCCAGTTCTGGCCATTGTGGCCATTTGGGGAGTAAACCAGAAGATGGAAGACCTCCTTTTCTGTTTCTCCCTCTCTCTGCCTGTAACGCTACCTCTAAAATAAATAAATAAATCTTAAAAAAAAAGGAAAAAAAAGAAATGAAAACTTTAAAAAACATTCAGCACTTGGGGTGAGTTTAGTGTTACTGCAATCATCCGCAGAGAGCAGAACCAAGGGACAGTGCAGGGAGATGCGTTTCCTAAGGATGCCCAAGTTGATGGCAGGAATCAGGGTAACACCTCAGACTCTGTCAATCAAGCTCTCAATGTTTTAAACTGTTCTCATGCATTCAGCTAAGGATGTATTCTGTTTGATTTATCTTGAAAGATGATTAGAGCAGATTTTAAGGTACTGTAATTCCTGTGTTTATTCCTTGAATAATTTTCCCAAACCTTGTATTCCATATCGAACCACGGATCTAAGAGGGTGACCTCGTCATTTACTGAGGCTCAGAGGCGTACAAAGATTTCCCCAAGACAAGCGGTCACCCACCGGCCCAGGACCCAGGTCCCTGATCTGTCCAGGGCTCCACAGCCCTGCGACGCCCACATATCTGCTTCTCAGTGGTTCTTCACCCTTTGTTTCTTGGGTGGTTTTATAGAAACTCACTGCAATGACAAGCTATTTGGGGATGCTACTAACTCAGAGATGGAAAGGGTTAAGTTTGGGGACATTTTCCTGGTTAACAAAACACCACTCGTTGTCCGAGAAAGCTGTCCTAGTTGCTTTGTAAGAAAGCCGTCTGCTTGCCAGTTTAAGGTTAAGAGAGTGAACATAAAAGCATCCTTACTGAAAGGAAAAATGTCAATTCAGAAGGTCCTGGCACTGTGCTGATCTGGGTCTTCAGTGATAGGTGAACCAGGAACTGGTCTCAGCGGCACCACTATTTGTTGTGCAGAGGGAGAAGCCAGAGAGCTCTTGGGGCACTGCCAGAGAGGCCTGGGAAAAGGAGAGTCCTCAGACTTGGGAGCAGCCGTTTGTGTGTGACCGGGAGTGGCCTGACCTGAACTGCATCGGCAACGCTGCACAGAGTCCCTGGCCACAGGCGACGAGCTCTGTGCTGCAGGGAGGCGGGGCTGGGAGGAGGTTCACAGGGGAGATCTGTGAGTACAGAGGGTCACAGGTGGTCACAGGGACACTGCTCGAGCTGCGGGGAGTGCAGCCCGACCCAGCGGCTCTCATCCTCAACCACCAGGACGGCGACTTGTTCTCACAGTCGCTGCTTGAGGTCGAAGAAGAAACAATGGACATCAGAGCCGGGGGACCCCTGAGAGCCAGAGGACCCTCGATTTAGCCTGGGAGACCCCCAGTTTAGCCTCTCTTAGGACTTTGCCATTCCTTCGGCACACCAGAGAAGGAGATGGCTGTTCTCTGAACGGCAAAACGGATGACTCAATCTTCTCATCTCAAAGGCCAAAGGCCCCAGCACTTGCTCACAGCGGCTCACAGCCAAGACTGGCTCTCCGATTCCCACTTCAGGGACTTTTCCATTCACAGTCAATGAAGCTATGGGAAGGTGATGGCTGTACAACCCCATGAATTCGCTCAAAGCCACTGAACTGTGCACTTCAAATGGCTGAGCTGTGATGTATGAATTGTACTTCAAAGATGCAAATAAATTAAAATCCTCTCAATACGATGGTAGATACCAACTCTGTTAACGCTTTAAAAATTCAAGCAAAATTATCAATGTGAGGGATCTTCCAAAGAGAAGTTTCGTGGAAAACTGAATTAAAAGAGAAGTTTATTTTGGTGCAAACATTTTGGAAATCCATTCACCTTTTTGATAACATGTATTTCCACGAGCTTTTCAAAGACTCTGCATACCTTTAGAATAACATGACAGAAGGATCCAACACACATGCACAAAACTTATAAAAAGTAAAGAATGTTTTTAAGAAGAAAACAGTGGGGCTGGTGTTGTGGCACAGCACATTAAGCTGCCACCTGTGAAACCAGTATTCCACATGAGTGCTGGTTCCAGTCCCAGCTGCCCTGCTTCCAATCCAGCTCCCTGCTAACACCCTGGGAAAAGCAGCAGAGGATGGCCCGTGTGCTTGGGCCTCTGCCATGCACTGAGTACTGGAAGAAACTCCGGGCTCCTGGCTTCCATTTGGTTCAGGACT